CTTTACGATAAGGCGAACGTCTGTTTACTTCAATTAAAATGGTTTAGAAGAGATGACTGTTTCTACTTCGACTTAGCTTTTGATTTTTTAATACTATTTAATATTTTATGCAGACAAATTATGTTGAGCAGAATAATGAATTTCAGACGTGTTCAAAAGGTGTGTATCTGAATATAATAACATTTTTGTTGTATAGTATCCATTTTTTTAAATTTCACACATTTCTAAAGCAACAGAAGTACGTTATCACTATTTTGGCACACACATCAAAAACATGTATAATTAAGATTAATGTTACATTCCTTTATTAAAAGTAATGGGTCCTCTTTAAATGCAACCTTTCATGCTTTTAGAGGATTTTACATGTGGTGGTCTTAAAAAGATGTTCACTACCAATGTTTGTTTATGTTCCCAAAAATAGAGATTTCTTAAAAGGTGACCTCTTAGAGATGTCGTAAATAGATGATTTGCTATAATTATTTTCCGAATAGATAATGGAATTAATGTAATTTAATGTCAATAACTCGAGGAAGCAAGTTTAAATACGGTGCAACAAAAATACAGAAGTATTTTAAATGACGAAAATATTCATATTTTGTCAATGTCAAATTTAAAAAAGAATTAATTTTGGACAAATTATGAAATCTAACTTTTAATGTCGTCTTCTGGTTTCTATATTTATATCTGGCAAAGTTTTATACTCGTTATGAAAAAATAAAAATACAAGAAGTTTGAGTCCCGTAGGACAAAGATTGACCGGGAAATTTAGTTTCAAAATTTGCAATGTTTGATGCCATTTGTAACTTGCCTTCGGGTATCGCTTAATTGAAGTTAGAATAATTCGAGGAAATAAGTTTAAATGAAGTGCGTGCAGAAAAAATAGCATAATTTAAATAGTCGTAGAAGGAAGTCATGCGGAATCCATATCAAATTTTCACTTTTTCATAATGACCATAAAACTTTCCCAAATACAAATACAGAAACTGGGAGACCGCATTAAAGATTAGCTTTCGTTATTTCTTTTGCTGCTTCACCCATTCCCTTCATCAGAACCGCTAATGACGAAAGGGTGAAATTTCCCCGATTCATCCCCTCTCCAAAAACTCCTTGTTGAGACTGTTATCAAGGAATGCTATATTATAAATGTCAACTTGCTTTTTACACTTAACAATAAATCGATAAAAACATTCGCAAATGTATAGGTTAAGTACGAATAAGAACTTAAAAGAAATTTAGAAATCTATAAAAGGTAAGGAAAGTTTTATGTTACTTTATTAGAGATAATAGTGAAGCACTAAATATTTCAATCAGTGTTATTTCATAATGCTATGAGTATACCTTTATTCATTTAAGAAATGGCCCACCAGCGGTCGAGCGGTAAAATCGCTGAACGCTGGTAGTTCCGACCTGAGTTCGATCTCAGGCAAACGAGTTGGCTTCATAAGCGTTTCGTGGTTTTTTTTTCCCGTACCAGCTTACAAGCCAGCTTACCACGTACCATACGAGCCAGCTTTCCTAAGAAAGTGCTCTACGAAGGCATTTTTTTCCTTTAGGCACATAGCCCCAGTGTGTTTTGTCATAATCAACTAAACCAAATCATTTAAGAAATATATCAGTTGATCACTGCTCAGTGTACATCTGCTGTTTGCTTATAAAAGCACTTTGTAAAGACGTTTCCACTATTTTGCTAATAGTTCTGAAAGGCTCATAGAATCCGAAATTATGTTACACTAACATCCGAAATTATCTAACAGAGAACTTATCTCTGCTTAATACAACAAAAATCTGCTTGACTTGCTTTCGTGTCTTTGGGAAACGTAAGTATATGCAGAAATAAATATTAAAATCTATCACGTATATTTGTAAGGATGTAAAGCATACTGTTTTGGTTCACGATAATGATAAATATGCATCATGTTACGACAGTTTTAAAAGATCACAAATAACTATACATATGCTAGACTTCTAACAAAATTTCTGTTACAATATGAATATGCATTTATTATTATATGAGTCGTAAAACGGCCCACCAGCGGCCGAGCGGTAAAGTCGCTGAACACTGGTAGTTCGGTCCGAGGTTCGAATCCCGCGAACGGTCCGGCTACATGGGTGTTTTCGTGGTTTTCCTCATGTGTAACGTGTATACGAGCCAGTTTCCCTTAGAAAGTCCTCCACGAAGACATCCCCCTTAGGCAGATAGCCATAGTGTGCCTTGCCATAATTAAATACACCCATACACACATGAGTCGTAAAATTCAGTATTCGTCATTTTTAGATTCTAAGTATACGAAAAATTTTTTTTTTAAATTTTCGTTTTGTTTTTAAAAATTAATTCACTTTATAGCTTTTCTTCAATTTATTATAAAGGAATAGGAGTTTAAATTTTGATTTATATATAATATGATATAAATTCATCATTCATTAATAATATTTTATGTATAACAAAAAATTATCATTAATGTTCCAAATTTTAATTTTTTTAATGATTTGTCTTACATTTGTTGTATATTTTGTTGAATGCATAGCTAAATATTTCAATTATACACAATAAAGGTTATGCAGAAAACAATTCAGCTGGCATGATAGCTAATTGCGAAAGAAAAATTAGAGTCTTATTGCTCTTAACTCTTAGTACAAGCAGCCATTTTTAAATTGACGTTAAAAAAAATTTATTCTATGGTCTATTAGAAAATAACTATACTGAATCATTTATTGACGACTTCTAAGAGGTCGCTTTCTGAAAGAACCTGTATTTTTGAGAACATAAACATACGTTGATATTGAACATCACTTTTTTAAGATGCCAGAGCAAATGCACAGAGCTCCAAAAATCCTCTAAAAGCATAGACGGTCACGTTTTAAAAGGCTGACTACTTTTAATAAAGCCTGTATATATTAATGTTCATTATACATTTCTCACATTTTTACTTTCTTTCAAAACAGCGATGCTGTGGTTCAATTGCTTTAGAACTATGTGAAACTAATAAAATGTGCCCTATGTTATAAAAACCTAATTATATTCAGATACACACCTTTTGAACATGTTTGAAATCTATTATTCTAATCAGAATACTTTGTCTACAGAAAACATTGAATCAATATTAGAAATCAAAAGCTAAGTGAGATTAAAGTAGGAAGAGTCATATCGTCTAACCCATTTTAATTGAAGTAAACAGGTGCTTACTTTACGTAAAGTGAACACCCGTTTTTCAAACAGCGAATGAAAAAAAAAAAGAGCCCATTAGAGCTCGAGCGGTAAATAAGTCGCTTAGCACTAATAGTTCGGTCCGGGGTTCAATTCCCGGCTAACGGCTAGCTGCACGGGCGTTTTCATTGTTATTCCCGTGTGTAACTTGCATATGAGTCAGTTCCTTTAAAAAATCCTACACGAAGGCCTCCCTCCCCGTAGGCAATAGCCTTAGTGTGCTTTGCTGTAACCGAATTAACCGAAACTGAAAGAAAAAAAAAAAAAAAAAAAAAAAAAAAGGCAGCTACGAAACGTCGTTTTAGAAGAATGGGCTACATAACCAAATTTCTATCTATACTCTGGTAAACAGTACATTATTTGCTCATCAAAAGCCTAAATTTAGCTAATGCTCGGCTTAGTTCTTAAATTGCAATTTTAGCCACAGCCCCCAAACAAGACAATGTCTGGTATTTTATTTCATTACTTAGTTATTCATCATTAATTTAAGAATTAATTAAATTTTCATTTGTCTTTAAATTTTTATTGAATTATAATAATAATCATTTAATATTCTAGTTGCTAATTATTTTATTATTGTAATAGTTATCTTATTTATTTTTATTTATTTATTTATTTATTCATCTTTCCTGATGGCCTTCCATAGAGCTCCAGCACTTCTAATTTTAAAAATTAAGTCCTGACTACAACCAATGATTGCGAAAATAAAAGTCAAGTAACTTATTTAGTGATAGTTAAATAAAATAAAACCAAAGCTTTTATTTTCTCCTTACTTGGCTTTTATTTTTATATATATATATATATATATATATATATATATATGTGTGTGTGTGTGTGTGTACTTTACATTTAATTATAAGGACATATATATTGTACTTACATTTAATTATAATTTATTTGATATATATATATACATATTTACGTTTCGTAGTATTACCGATTGCAATAAAAAGGGAGGTGCACATCTAGATGTTATAACGGACCCATATACAAAATTTCAACGTTCTATAGCTAACCGTTTTTAAGTTATGCAAAATGCATACATACGTACTTACACATCACGAAAAAAAATCCCTTTCAAGTATCAACTTAGAGTCATAATCATTAGTCATAAGTATCAGCTTAGAGTAAATGGGATTACATTTAACAATAAGTTTTTTTGAAAAAAAAAAAAAAAAAAAAGAGAGAGACAGACAGAGAGAGTCCTTCATTGTGTTCGTACGTACAGGCGTCAGCCCAAAAAATAATTCACATGGATTCCGTAATCGTCAAAAACGGATATTTTCCGTTGAAAATATGATACCCAAAAGTTTTCTCGATTACAATACTTACTACCATTTTATTTGATACAAGGAAGTAAAGAACCTATATTAACCTACATATTCTTATATAAACAATACCTAAGTGCAGTATATAAATATTTAAAATCAATAAAATCTTACTATGGCACGCTCAAGGAAAAAAAAAAAAAAAAAAAAGAATCATCTAAATTTTCAAATTACAAACATAAATAGCAATAGTAAAAAGCAAATACAAAATAACGCTTCACGCTGTCAAAATTGCTCATTTCTTAAATATCAACAACTAAATAGTATTTCATCTAAAACACATAATGTAAACAAGAGTTTACCCGATGCCCAAAAAAATTCAAAATTATCTATGAAAAATATGAGCGCATTGTGACGCAATCGTATCATTCCTATTCGAACAGCAACCGCATAATTCGGATTCGCATAGAAACCGCATCATTCGTACTCGAACAAACCGCATCGTACGACAGATGCGAGTAACGAACAGATGCGAGTAACGAAATGAATTTGTGAGTACCGAATCGGTACTTCGAGTCAACCGATGTACCCGTTACTCAGTAACGAATACATGCGGTTTGCTCCAGCTCTATTGTGCTCTCACGTAGCTCAGGCCAGTTGGTAACGGAACGAGTTAGATCCTGAAATCGCAAATGTGTGACGTCAAATGTGAAACAATAAAGCACTTTTAAATAAGTAACTTTGTCAAACTCTTAAGCGTTGTTTCAACAAATATAAATATTCGAAAGTTCATGCAATCGCAATGTAGCATAATCGCGTAAATTCATAATTAAATACGTACGTTCTTGAGCAAGTTTGAAGAATCTCCCATTGCATATCGCAGAGATATATTTGTGTGAAATGGAACAAATTCATTTTTACTGAACTGTTCTTGGAAATCAGACTTTAGTTATATAGCACATTAGATAAGTCTCATGCACAACATTTATTGATATTTTTATCAAGATAGTCACACATGTTTTTTGCTCAATACACTGAACAGTGGTATGAAGTACCCAAGAATTATATTGGATACAATTTCAGTTAACCAAACTATTTTACATCTGTACAGAGATTAAACGTTATCTAAGTTTATCTTGCGAAGAAATTTCATATCTAGTAGAATATAACCATATTTGGTGGAAGCAGTAATTTAGCAGAGCTTATGGATACCTATACTGGAGAGAAACCCTATATGTGTGAAGTATGCAAGAAGTCGTTCATTAGAAAGCATACATTGAACCAGCATGTGCTTATTCACACGGGAGAGAAAGCTCACGTATGTGAAGTATGTAAGAAGTCATTTTATCAAAAGAGGTATTTGACCAGCCATATGCTTGTTCACACAGGAGAAAAAACACATATGTGTGAGGTATGTAAGAAGTTGTTTAGTCAGAGGATAGGTTTGAGATTGCATATGCGTATTCACACTAGAGAAAAACCTTATAAGTGTGAAGTATGTGAGATGTTGTTTAATCAAAACAGTCACTTAAGAGTGCATATGCGTATTCATACAGGAGAGAAACCTCATTCATGTGAAGTATGTAATAAGTTCTTTATGTCAAAGGCACATTTAAAAGTCCATATGCTTATTCACACAGGAGAGAAACCTTATGTGTGTGAAGTTTGTGAAAAGTCATTTAATCGAAAGCATGTTTTGAAAGAACATATGCTTATTCACTCTGGAGAAAAGCCTCGTGTATGTGAACTATGTAAGAGGTCGTTTAGACACAAGGAGAGTTTAAAAAATCATATGTTAATGCACACTGGAGAAAAATGTCATGTATGTGAAGTATGTAAAGTGTCATTTAATCGAAAGGATTATTTAAAGAGGCATATGTTTGTTCACACTGGAGAGAAAACTCATGTGTGTGAAGCATGTGAAAAATCATTTAGTCTTAAGAGTAGTTTAAACACACATATACGTAATCACAGTGGAGAGCAGCTTCATATGTGTGAAGTATGCAAGAGACTTTTTAGTAAGTCTTATTTACGCAAGCATATGCTTATTCACACTGGAGAGAAACCTCATGAGTGCGAAATATGTAATAAGTTCTTTAGAACAAAGCGTTTCTTGATGGAGCATTTGCTTATTCACACAGGAGAGAAACCCTATGTGTGTGAAGTATGTCAGAAGTCATTTAGTAAGGCAGGTAAGTTAAAAGTGCATATGCTTATTCATACAGGAGAGAAACCCCATGTGTGTGAAGTATGTCAGAAGGCGTTTATTCAGAAATATCGGTTAAAGGCCCATATGCTTACTCATACAGGAGAGAAACCTCATGTGTGTAAAGTATGTAAGAAATCATTCAGTCAGAAAGGTAATTTAAAGAAGCATATGCTCATTCACACTGGAGAGAATCCTCATGTGGCTGAAAAGGGTAGTTGAAATAAACGTATGTATATTCACACAGCAGACCAAACTTAACGTGCATATCTACATGAGAGTGAAATAGCAATTGTTTATCTATGTGACAGGTCATTTGGAGAGAAGAATTTCAATAAGCATGTTTATATGCCCTGTAGAAAACCATGTTTTTTAGGATATACAAGATTGGTAACATCCAGAGCTTAAATTGTGCCAGAGCCTGGCTCTGGTACTTCTCAGTTTTCGAGATAAATTATTATTTCAGCCAGACTGCGTAGGAGCCCTAAGTAAAAGGCCTTCTTTTCTGTAAGTGAACCACAATTTTAGTAGATTTTAGTTTTGTTTTAATAGCAAACATGCCTTAAAAATCAATTCTGAGTTCTAAATGCATGCCTGTCTTTCGATCGTGTTCAAACCTTGAACAGAAATTAAGACTTAAGGAAAGAAAAGCCCCCCCAATCATATGTCAAAGGCTTATTCTCCAGGATGTGCAACGAATTCATGGCAGCGGGCAAATTTTGTGTTCCCCAAAGTACTAAAAGTGATACCCTGGTCTTGCACGTTCCACACAAGTGACTTCTTATTGCAGAACTTTCTGAATGATATAACCAAACGGGGGGGGGGACACCTCTGCTGTCACTTGTACAGAGAAGTGTAATGTTTATTCTCACATTATTACCGAATTGTATTCAGAGAAAATTCCTCCTTCACGGCTGGAATCATATTGACAGGGCAACGTGATTAGAAGGTCTTGAACTCTACCTCTTTATTTTTTCAAAGCTACACTTTTCTGTTAAAATTTTCTTCCATATCCTAATACTGTGTCTAGAATTCTCATGTTTCTTCTTAGTGGAGTTTTAATCGTTTTTCCTGGGTGTGCAACAACAACAACAAAAAAAAGGAGTGGTGCTGGGCATCCTTTGGAACATTATACGTATAATGAGGGTTTAAATTCGGATAGAGATCGGCTGAGCTGCTTCTTCTAAGTGGAATTGTAACTCCAGCCAATGCCAAATAAGACAAGGTCGGAATTGTTTTTTCTTTTTAACTATTTAAAATTAACTTAATAATTTATTAGAGTTCTATTTATATTTCTCCTAATTTAAATTTAATTATTCTAATAATTAGCTATTTTTTCTTTCGTTGGCTAATCTTTGGAATATGGTAACAGGTAGTTTGGCGACATTTTGGTAAGGTGATAAAGGTTACTAGTTAGAACATTAGCAGTGTACATGGATAAAGTCAAGAGTGTGCGCAGTGCCATTTTTGTGCAATTCTGGGATGTTTTTTTAAGTGAAAATAGGTCGACGTGTACATGGATGATACCGTGTATGTGCAATTCTTAAAAACACGGCAAGCAGTTTGCGATTCTGCTCTTTCTCCTAATTTCGCACCTAATCTTCGTCATAATTAAGCATTTTTGTTCCATAAAAGTTCTAGTATAAGAGTAATTCTGCTAGCAGATTGTTAGAAAAAATGTTGAGTTTAGAAAAAAAAAAAAAAAAAAAAAACATGCCTTTACTTCGTGAAAACATAATGGCGTCCAAAACAAAACTAGCAGGTTGCTGTAGCAGGGTTGGTCGCCAAATTTTTGCCAAAAAATCGCCAAGTTACCATAATCCAAAGATTAACCCTTTCGTTCCTCACAGTATTCCATAGGGCTCCAGCACTTTGAAAACTTAAACTCTGGTAACATCCTTTATTTACCAGTGGAGTAAGGACTTATCTATGCAGAAACTCTGATTATTTTTGGTCAAAACTTGTTCATTTGCACGAGAGTGCAGAATTCCTACAATTTACATATGTATTTGGTGTTATGATTTGTAGATTTTATGGCAGGTGTCATGAAACCTACCACTGATGCTATGCGAATAATGTAAATTGTCATTTGATCAAAACAAATAAATCTTTTTTTGTTTTTTGTTTGTTTGTTTCCACAAGAGTAAACATTTCCCGTGAGGTTGATGCAATACCAATCCACTGATACTATGTGAATAATGTAAATTGTCATTTGATCAAAACAAATAATAAATCTTTTTTTGTTTGTTTCCACAAGAGTAAGCATTTCCCGTGAGGTTGATGCAATACCAATCACAACTCTGGCCATTAGTAATAAAAATGTCTTCCTTATGCCTCTCATGAAATGATGTATTAGGTTCATACATTCATGCTTAACAATTACTGAGCATTATGTCTATACTCGTTCCAGTATCAAATGCACCAGTATATAATGTTAAAAAAAAACATTAGATGGTTATCACATGTGGTATTAGAAATGAGATTTTCTCAAAAATTCCAATTTTGGACATAACAAGCTGAGCAGTGGCATCTGTATGACATATAAAAAGATAAATGGAAATCATCATTTCCTTGCAGGTAATAAATCTATGCGTGCTAGGTATTTATTCAAATATTTTTACAATTTTTTTTAAATCCAGTAGTGAAGCTCATTTTTAACTTGCAAGATGTACAGTTGCATTATAAACATGAGAAAATTTGTATCCCCCCCCAAAAAAATGCCAGTCTAACATCCATCTCATACTCAGTTTTCAAACAATCATTATGAGAAACTGAAGCCTAAACAGTTTAGCTTTTTTCTGTTATCGGGACTGGATTCAGAAATGTGTATGTAAACATGCATATATGTAGGGCTGTGCTTAGGTGATCAGCAAATACCCACAGTGGAAAAACCAGCTGAACTAAATATATACAGTCAAAAGTCGTTAATCCAGACTCGTCGGGACTTCGGCGATTCCGGATTATCGATTTTTCCGGATTATAGATCATCAGTTTAAATCTGGTAAGATGGCATGCAGAAATTACAAAATTAAAAATATGAAACTGTAATTTATGAACAATTATGATCTAAAGGGTATCAAAATTTACAAAAAGAAAAAGCTTAATATTTATTTGTTTACTTTATTAAACATTTCTTTCAATGTAAGTTCTTTAAGTTGCTTCGTTTCATGTGATAATACTTTCTCTTTAATTCTATTAAACAGACATAATTTCTTGTTTAGTTACAAAGTTCTGCTGTTCAAGTCCTATAATTGCTGTGTCGAGAATACCGACTAATTTGTCAATCTAAATTTTTTCGTTTTCAATAACCTCTGTCACTTTCTTCACTATTGGAAGCGAATTATAATGACAAGAAACTTGTTTTAAATCATATCAAAGACGGAGTACATCGAGATGAAATACTACATTTAGTAAGGAATTATAAGCCAAATAAAATAAAAACATCTGCCCTGAAGATAAGGATAGTGCTGACAGATCAAATTCCAATTCATTGCGCGCCGCGGCGTTCCCCCCGCCGAGCAGCGTGAAATTGATAAACAGATTTCGGATTTTGAAGCATACTTTCGCTTTAGATCCTTTACATATTAACAAATATGTATTGGAAATTCTATTTGATATAATCGAAAGTTTAAGCTTACTTTTAAAAAAATGCTCTAACAGTCTGCAAAAAATAATAAGCCGGATTCATTTCGAAGATTAAGGAACAATGCAATCTGCAACATTAACTGAATTAGATAATTTTAGCTTAGCTTACCCGTCCGTTATACATTAAACGCGCATGCGTAAACGTTTTATGAGCATGTGCACAAGCATATTCGCAGCCGTAATGGTCTTACGCAAGCACGTAAACACCTATGCGCATGCGTCATCGCAACGATTGCGCAGAAAGTTTATAGGTTTCAGGTCCGAATTAACAACTTTAGACTGTATATATTCCGGTAAAAGTATAGTTTAGTGTACCCCTTGGCGATTTTTGGCGGTACATGGATACCGATTTTGTGCAATTCTTTGACTCGTTATTTTGGCTTGCGAAGCAGCGATTTTTGTGCCAAAAATCGCCGCTACACAAAGCCAAAATAACAAGACAAACAATTGCACAAACTCGGTATCCATGTACACATCGACTTATTTTCACTTAAAATAGCCCCCCCCCCCGAATTGCTCAAAAATGACATTTGCGCACTCCTTTGACTTTATGCATGTACACGTCGACCTATTTTCACTTAAAAGAAAAATATCCGCACTCTTTTAACTTTATCCATGTACACGTCGACCTATTTTCACTTAAAAAAAATTCCCAGAATTGCTCACTTGCATTGCGCACTCCTTTTACTTTGTCCAGGTACACATCGATATATTTTCTCTTAAAAAAGTCAAAGGAGCACCAAATTCTACAATATAGGCAAACAAAAAATACATAATCTCAATAAAATACATTTTAAACCAAACAATAAAATAACATAAAAAAGGAAAAACATGTTATACATTTAAGCACTACGAAAAGCAAGTATTCACTTACCATGATTGTCGAGTTCACTTCATACACCCAGAGCCACGTAAAAATCAAATTATCAATCATACTCAAATGACTTTTTTCAAACCAGGTACTCTTTCTGATTAAACGCTTCACATAGTGCCCATCTGAACCTTTCTTCCTACAAACCCATTCAAATCCATCTAAACGTTTTTTACGTTCGACTAGACGCACATCCTTCCTACATACAGGGCACTTATAATGGCTACTAAGTAAACCTTCATTTACACACCAGTCAATTAAATCTCTTTTTCGCTTTCGCTCCAAATCGTACAGAAACTTCAAATTAATCTTACTACATGCGGCCATTCTACCATCTAAAGAATCAAACCAACACACGCCACAAAAACGCTTATAAAACATCCCATGATTCAAAATTTCCCAGAATAATGCACCCGATTACGTCACAATAAGGTTTCCATAACATTCAACTACTCAGGCTACCATAAATGAAGCAACAACTTGGTGATAAATCAAACAACAACTTTGCCATAATAAAAGGGGTACCTTAAAGTCTACTCTATCCTATATTCCTATTACCTGAATCTAAAATATAAAGGAACAGTAAAATAAAATTTAAAAATATATTTACGGGTGCTCCTTGGTGATAATTGGTGGTATGTAGACACCGAATTTGTGCATTTCCTTGACTTGTTATTTTGGCTTTGTGTATTGATGATTTTTGCACCAAAAAATTGCCGATACACAAATCTAAAGAAACAAGTCAAAGAATGGCACAAACTCGCTATCCATGTACACATCAAACTAGTTTCACTTAAAAAAATATCAGAGAATTGCACACACCCTTTACTTTGTACACATTGATCTATATTCATTTAAAAAGTCAAAAAGAGTAGCCGACAAAAAATATATAATCTTATTAAACTACATATAAAATCAAACAATGAAATAGCATAAAAAAGAAATTCAGAAATTCATCTTAGCACTACACAAAGGAAATATCTACTTACCTTATTTATGAATTTACGTGTCTTCAGTCAAACAAAATTCCATAACAGCATCAAAAAACTTTTTAAAATTATCTGAACTAGAATCTGTATGCTGGTGTTACGAGACTCTACCTGAATTTTGTTCATTCAGTCGGTACTCCATTAAAAGAAACGTAAAGAGAAATTATAATTAAGTAATACGGGCAATCCACCCAATTAATTCACTGTAAAACAGAAAATTCCCCTTAATTAATTCACTATAAAACAGGCAATCCATCTTAATGCAAAGTCATGGTGCATTTTTACTTTATTCATTCTAAACATATTAAAAAAAAAAAAAAAAAAAAAATGATACAATGTTGCCAAACCGTAAAAACTTAACCTTTTTAAGAAATTGCATTTATACAATCGTTGAGTTGCTCGTGACATCTCACGTCGCCACATAAATTTAAAAAAAATATCTTCCGTTACATCCTACATTCGACCATACACATTTCCTTCCTACAAACAGGACACTTAATAATGGCTCCTAAATAAACCTTCATTTACACACCAGTCAATTAATGCTTTTTTCCCTTTCATTCCAAATCATACAGAAACTTCAAATTAATCTTACCACATTCAGCCATTTTACTGTAATAATGCAACCAATTATGTCATAATAAGATTTCCATATTATTCAACTACTCAGGTTATCATAAATGAGACAACAACTTGGTGATAAATGAAACAACAACTTAGCGATAATCCAAGGGGCACCCTTAAATCTACTCTAACCGATATAGTATGGTTACCGATATATGTTTATACCAGCACTGGATTTACATACAGTACAATGTCTGAAATCCGGATGTCCATTATCCAAAATGA